TCCCCCAGGTACATTCCCCTCAAGCCCCACAGCGTGGTGACATTGAAAAAAAAAAAAAAAATCGAAATGACCTACAAAATAGCAAAAGAAAATGCTTATTTTGGCTGGTGGATTTTGTTTTTTTGTGAAAAAAAAAAAATTGAAAAAAATATAGGGAGTTACCCTCCGATGTCCCCCACCCTCCTATAAAAAAAAAAACATACCCCCCCAGCCAAAAAAAAAAAACAAAAAACATACCGCTCTCCATGAACTCCATGAACTCCCGTGAACGTGAACTCTGTGAACTCTATGACCGGCTCTGTTCACAGACCCCGTGAACGGTGAACGGGGGTACGGCACTGCGGCCAAGTACATTTATACTTACCTTCTTGTACATGTGTCGGTAGTAGACTCGGTACCATCTCTCTCTCTCTCTCTCTCTCTCTCTCTCTCTCTCTCTCTCTCTTTGGGAAGTGCTGCAAGCTCGTCGCACCGCTGTTGCAAGCTTGCCGCTGTGCCAAGCTCGTTGCTCACCGTCGTTGCAAGCTTGCTGCTGTGCCAGCATAGCCACGGGCCACCACGCTCGCCTTGCTGTAGCTGTTGCTCCTGCTCGCCCTAACGCTTGCATAGCGCACCTCCTTGCTCGCTCGCTGCCGCCAGACTGCCGAATGGCAGTGGAGCAACCCAACCCCCGCGCCAGTCCAAGCTTCGAAGAATCGAAGTTCAACTTCGAAATTTTGGCACCCGTCTTCCACAGGTTGGGCGGGCTCACTCCAGTACTTACCAAATGTGTGAAATGGGAATGAATAATGTGTTACTTCATGGGAAGATTCATAGCCTTTTCTTTTTTTCTTTTGTGCATGTACATGCACAAAAGACCAAAAAAAAAAGACTGTGAATCTTCCCATGAAGTAACGCAAGATTCATTCCCATTTTACACATTTGGTGAGTAGTGGACTGAGGCCCGTTGGTTTGCGGCTTTACACGTCCCATTACAGGTGAAAAAGAGCAACAGTAGGAAAATAAAACGCGGGGGCCTATTTCTTACTAATAGGACCCCAATACCTGCCATATTGCCGGTGAAAAGGGCCCACCCTAAATTAATATTGTGGCCTGGCCCTAATACTACCTGCTACCTACAAGGCTAGTACCTATACTAGTTTTATGGCCTACAAGCTTCGGGTCACCCGGGCCAAACCTCCACCCATCCGTACCCGCCCAGGGAATCAAGACTACCATCCCGCCCAGCCATGCCCCCTTGAAACTTTCTCACCCTGCCCAATTCCACCCACCATATTCTCACACATATTCACACCCAGCTGGACCAATGCATATCCTTCGGAGGCATACCCGCACCCCATCCAA